CCCCCACCCCCGCCCCAGAGGTCTGGATTTGAGCCATGGTCTCTGAAGGTTTGGTAACCAATAGGGCCGTCTTATGGACTCGCTGAGTGAGGGCACCCTTAGCAGCAATACAGTGGTTAAAAGTAGAGGGTCTGGAAGAGGGCGGTTTAGTTAAGGACTTGTCTCAAAACTGAGCTTGTAGGCAAAACCTCTCTCAAACGATTTATGTTTGTTTAGGGGGTATGGTGGAGATTAGGAGAAACCACCTTTTGGCTCTAATGAGCAAAGCATCTGCCAAGGAGGGAAAACCAAGAGATGGGCTCATCCAAGAGAGGTCAGGAAGATAATGCCGCCCCGGAGGCCACTGTTAGGTGAGTAGTGGGAAAGCCTCCTTCACCTCTGTCTGCGGTATTTCCTGCCCTAACACGCCATTCTCCCCCCATGGTCTGACCTAAATCCAGTAGTTTTTAGCTTCCCGCTCTCTTCTCTTATCTCTTTTCCCCCTCTAAGTCCCCCCTCCCTTCTGCCGCCACAAAGGGTTAATCTCTCCTGCGGGTAAAAACAGGTCCGCGGAGTCTCTAACTGGCGACAGATGGGCCACTTTCTTCTGGCCACAAAGGGGCCGGAATGGAGCGCTCGGCGGCATACAAATAGGCAGGTCACGTGGCTCCGGGCTCTTGGCTGGACCAGGAAGACCATATGGCGCATGCCGGGGAGGAAGGAGCAGGGGCGGGGGTAGGAATGGGGGGTGGAAGGGAGCGAGAGCAGGAGGAGGGCGGGAGAAGAGCAAAGTCGATGAGGGGCGGCAGGAGAGAGCGTGCAACCGGGAAGCGTGCGCAGGCGCCGGGCGCAGCGACCCGCTAGCCGCTCCACTCCCGGCCCCACCCGCGCACAGCATCACCAACTCAGCTATATAACCTGAGCGCCCGCGCTGCCGAGATACGAGGAATTCGCCCCACGCAGAAGGCACAGCGTCCCCAAGGTTATGAAACCATCTCTGCTCAGGATTCACTAACAACCACAGGTAATTATGATCCTTTTATTTTTGTTCAAGAATAAAAGTAGTATTTGAAGACACGATGTACCTATATAATCTGTATGAGTGCATTTGTGAGGACTGTGTGTATGTGTGTGTGTGTGTGTGTGTGTGTGTGTGTGTGTGTGTTTTGGAAGAGGCATCCCTCCCAATAATCTCAAATAACCAAACCAAGTGCGCACATATTGAATCACCCCACTCAATTGCCCACTGCAAGCTTTCTAATTTTCTTTTGAATTTCTGTTTTCTGAAAATATAAAAGCTTTTCTGAGTTTTTACAAAACACACAGTAAATATGATTAGCAAGTAACTACTTTGTGTCCTCATTTCTCCCAGTAAACAAGGTCACGTTTCCAAGACTTATTTTGCACATGTATTTATTTATCTTTAGTAGATTTAAAAAAATTTTCAGGCACATTGAGACTACCAAGTAATTTTTCAGTGAATGAAAGGAAACTTGATATCTTAACTGCACACATCGTGGAAAATAAATCGGCTTTAGAGATACTTTAGTTGAGAGGAGGGAAAAAGTGGAGTGATCCACGCCTGCTACCTGTTACCACTCCATAGGCGGCCAAGTCCCCAGTAGCCATGGCTAGAGCCAGAAATTCAGTTGGTTCACTAAAAGCTTTTTATTTTTCCTTATTAGAAAGGACAACTTCTCCATTGCTCATCGTCGACCATTATAATGCCTCTATCTTTTAAAGGGAGGTTTGAGGAGAACTTTGAAAAGCCCCAATAAAGAGCGGTTGGTCCTTTCAATAGGCTGTTTATTAGAGAGGAGCTGTAGGCACCTGATCCCCAGTGCGTGGGAGAGCTTGCTGCTCTGCGCCCCCCCAGCCCTCTCCAAGAAGTGAGTGCTTTTGTACAAGGTGGGAATTCAGCCGAGGGCGAGGGATAGCAGGCGAGAAAAGAAAGGCGAGAGAAGGATGGGAGACACTTGCCCACTTTTGTTGCCGAATGTTTCATTGATGGTGAAATAATTTGCTGGAAAGGACTCTTCCTCCAAACATTTGCTCATCAATCCCCTTCCAATGTATAATCTTCTTAAAAATCACTGCCAAGTTAAAAAATTACGTAATGGCTCTTCAATTTAAATCGCTAAGTACCTGGTAGCAAGGACAGAAATGGGAATAAATTGCATGATTTTCAAACTCTTTTCTTGTGGAGTTAAGTGTGACTTTGGAAACAAGCAGATAAACAAGAATTCACTGATATGTGCATTCGCTTCATTCACAGGATCCTGCCGGGTAATCTCCATAAACATTTTGAAGTCAATCTCACTAGGAAATAGATATACATGCATGAATGTGTACACACACACACCAGTCCTGTCCTCTTCCTTACGTACCAACAGGGAATACACATGCCATTATAAAAACCTGTATTTAACTTTTCCTCGGAGGCATCCCTTTTGTAATGAATCGGCCCTTCTAGCACACATGCATTTGTACAGGGCTGAAGAGCATGAACTGATTGTGTATGTTTCCCTTTCTCGTCTGTTAAATGTAGGAAACTGAAACATGACCAAGTCGTACAGCGAGAGTGGGCTGATGGGCGAGCCTCAGCCTCAAGGTCCCCCAAGCTGGACAGATGAGTGTCTCAGTTCTCAGGACGAGGAGCACGAGGCAGACAAGAAGGAGGATGACCTCGAAGCCATGAATGCAGAGGAGGATTCATTGAGAAACGAGGGAGAGGAAGAGGACGAAGATGAGGACCTTGAAGAGGAGGAAGAAGAGGAAGAGGAAGATGATGATCAAAAACCCAAGAGACGCGGCCCCAAAAAGAAGAAGATGACTAAGGCTCGCCTGGAGCGGTTTAAGCTGAGGCGCATGAAGGCCAATGCCCGAGAGCGGAACCGCATGCACGGACTGAACGCGGCACTGGACAACTTGCGCAAGGTAGTGCCCTGCTACTCCAAGACACAGAAGCTGTCCAAAATCGAGACTCTTCGCTTAGCCAAGAACTATATCTGGGCTCTGTCCGAGATTTTGCGTTCTGGCAAAAGCCCTGACCTAGTCTCCTTCGTACAGACGCTCTGCAAGGGCTTATCCCAGCCCACCACCAACCTGGTTGCCGGCTGCCTGCAGCTCAACCCTCGGACTTTTCTGCCTGAGCAGAACCAAGACATGCCCCCACACCTTCCGACAGCCAGTGCTTCCTTTCCTGTGCACACCTACTCCTACCAGTCTCCGGGGCTTCCCAGTCCGCCGTACGGCACCATGGACAGCTCCCACGTCTTCCACGTCAAGCCGCCGCCACACGCCTACAGCGCCGCGCTGGAGCCCTTCTTTGAAAGCCCCCTGACTGATTGCACCAGCCCTTCCTTTGACGGACCCCTCAGCCCGCCGCTTAGTATCAATGGCAACTTCTCTTTCAAACACGAACCGTCCACCGAATTTGAGAAAAATTATGCCTTTACCATGCACTATCCCGCAGCAACCCTGGCAGGGGCCCAAAGCCACGGATCAATCTTCACCGGCACTGCTGCCCCTCGCTGCGAGATCCCCATAGACAATATTATGTCCTTTGATAGCCATTCACATCATGAGCGAGTCATGAGTGCCCAGCTCAATGCCATCTTTCACGACTAACCCTTTGGCAAAGGCCCATCAGTTTCACCATCCATCCCCAGGAAACGAACCCACTGTGCTTACAGTGACTGTCGTGTTTACAAAAGGCAGCCCTTTGGGTACTACTGCTGCAAAGTGCAAATACTCCAAGCTTCAAGTGATATATGTATTTATTGTCGGTACTGCCTTTGGAAGAAACAGGGGAATCAAAGTTCCTGTTCACCTTATGTATTATTTTCTATAGCTCTTCTATTTTAAAAGAAAAATGATACAGTGAAGTTACAAAAAAAACAAAAACAAAAACAAAAGCCTGCACCACAAATTTGGTGTAGCTGTAGTCAGATCATATTAATTATCTGATCGGGATAACAAAATCACAAGCAATAATTAGGATCTATGCAATTTTTAAACCTAGTAATGGGCCAATTAAAATATATATAAATATATATTTTTCAACCAGCATTTTACTACTTGTTACCTTTCCCATGCCGAATTATTTTGTTGTGATTTTGTACAGAATTTTTAATGACTTTTTATAATGTGGATTTCCTATTTTAAAACCATGCAGCTTCATCAATTTTTATACATATCAGAAAAGTAGAATTATATCTAATTTATACAAAATAATTTAACTAATTTAAACCAGCAGAAAAGTGCTTAGAAAGTTATTGTGTTGCCTTAGCACTTCTTTCCTCTCTAATTGTAAAAAAAAAAAAAAAAAAAAATGCACAATTTGAGCAATTAATTTCACTTTAAAGTGTTTCTCTTTCCTTAGAAAACAGATTCATACTCTCAAGAGGATGAGAAAGCAAGATGTTGATCTCTATCAAAGCATATCAGTTCAACACATTACTTGCACAAGTTTATATATACGTATTATAAACAAATGCCAACATAACCCTTCTTTAAATCAAAAGCTGCTTGACTATCACATACAATTTGCACTGTTTCTTTTTAGTCTTTTACTCCTTTGCATTCCATGATTTTACAGATATTCTGAAGCTATTGATGTTTCCAGAAAATATAAATGCATGATTTTATACATAGTCACACAAATGGTGGTTTGTCATATATTCATGTAATAAATCTGAGCCTAAATCTGATCAGGTGTTAATGTTGGGATTTATACCTATTGTAGTCAATTAGTACAGTAGCTTAAATAAATTCAAGCCATTTGATTCATAATTAGAACAATAGCTATTGCATGTAAAATGCAGTCCAGAATAAGTGCTGTTTGAGATGTGATGCTGGTACCACTGGATTCGATCTGTACTGTAATCTTGTTTGTAATCCTGTATATTATGGTGTAATACACAATTTAGAAAACACTCATCCAGTTGCAATAAAATAGTATTGAAAATCTAAGAAGTTGTTGCATTTCATTTTTCCAAGTGTAAATAATTACTGGGGAGATTGTAACTTTACTCGCTTAGTTTAGAAAAACACAAAACATTATTCATAGACTAACATGTTGTTTCAAAGTTTACTTTGACAAGCTCTCTAGTTTGCTTATTTTGCTCAGGGAGTCACAAGCCTTTTGTAAATAATAAAGACACCTAGCTACTATTTCATATTTGAATATGGGGTGGGGGGTACAAACAATTATGCTTTTGTTTTTCTTTGTTGTAAGGGACTTCACCTTTAGATGCTTTACTCCTGCTTTGTAAATGCTTAACAGGATTCTTTTTCTTTTGTAAAAGAAGATTTAGTTAATTTTTAACATGAAAGACAAAAGTACCATCTTTTTTTTCCTGACTACATATTTAAATATAGCTGATAAAAAAAAAAATAGAGAGAGATTACCATTTCCTTAGGACTCTGTATATTTTCCTGAACAGGTCTCTATTACTAACTAATATTGTCCTGAAAAGAAACTTATATGCTTTTAGAAAATGCCAGGGGAAAGTGACTTAATTAAGAAGAAGAACCATTTTATGATTGTTCTATGAATTTCTTGTGATTTGAAATGATTTTTCCAGGAAAAATATTGTGACTTATTTGTACTAAAGAATAAATTATTTGTCTCGTAATATGCTTTGGAAAGGGGTAGTTGTATTTCCTCCCCTGTTGGGGCACTAATCTCTTTCTTTATAAATCCAAACCCTCTAGAAAAAATTTACAGATGATTCTGTCTGTTTAGAAGTCAACTTAAAAAAAAAAAAGAGTTTGGCATTTCTCTTTTCAGGATGTATTGACTGACAGGAAGGATTCCTGGGGAATAACGTCTTGGCACTTGTGTCCTGGCTCTACTATGGTGCTCTGATTACTGTCATTAGTAACTCCATTGTTTCTCCTCTGATTCAGATGCCACATTGGATGACTACCTCCCTTTCCAGGCTTGTTTCTTTAATCTTCTTCTCATTGGTGATTTAGGGGTTCCAGAAAGCTGACCTCATTTAGCAAGCTGCTCCAGAAAAAAATGTGAGTTATCTAATGGACAGGAACAATTAGCAATACTAATAACATTGCCAATAGGGCTGTATCAAGCTGTGGCAGTAGCAATAAAGAATAACTCAAGGTTAAGGAAAAAGTTGAGTACAGTTGAAAATACATTATTTTAACATGTTTTCCATCAGCCTTCATCACATGAGAAAAAATGCTTTCAAATTAGTCTCAACCTTATCCAAAATGTAGCCATCCCCTTCCAAGTGAGTCAGAGTTGTTATTTTGGAATCAAGCTGTTGCTTTGTATACCAAGGATTGCTCTCACTGTTCTTACTTTAAGACACATGATACTGATATGATATTTGAGCACTGTCAGCCTTCCAGTTTGGGAGATCATGATTTGAACATTCAGATCTGATCTGATCCATTCAACTGCTCTATTTCACCTGTAATTGAAAATAGCCATCTTCTTGCAAACTAAAAACTTACAGTAATGAATAGGTGAAAGAATAAGAGAATAACATTCTAAAAAATTAATCTTTTAGAGAAGCATGCAGAGAAATCTAGAATGTAGGCTTATGTGTAAGGTACAAATGAAGATAGGAAGTTAAGACTGATTTTTCTTTTCCCCCTGTCTGCTTATGTGAGTTCATTCTAAAATATAAGATTCTTTCAGTCAGTCAAGGAGTAACTCACATGCCACCATCTTTTATTCAAAGGCAGGCACAGATGTTCCTTCTGCAGGGGAGGTTTTAATTTATGAAAATGATATTGTTTATGCATGAATGAACTGAAAGCACTCTGCATAACACACAGCACTTCCATCTGATCAGAGAAATACCACAGAACTAGTGCCAATGTCAGAAACATATTCTACAAATTTACTCACTTAAATGTTTAATGAATATTTGGAAGGCATTTTCAAACCACAAGAAACCTTTTCAATGATCTTCCTCTTTCTCTTTTTTTTTTTTATGAATTGCTACCCATAATTAAAAGAGATTCATATAGTCATTGTACTTAGCTAGATTAATATCTGTACCTAGCTAATGAGAAAAGAAAATGTTTCACTAAGTTAAAATCAACCCAAAAGATATATGAAAACATGATAGCTTTGGACACACTTAGTAAATATTTCTTTTAATCTTCTTGTATAAATAATCCTTGCTATACTATTTAGCATTATATGTGCTACTTCATCTTGAGGAATTCTATTCCTATCAAAGGAAATGGTTCAGATCTACTTACTTAACCTGAAAATGCTGTAAAGAAACTATTTTTCAGAAAAATATTTTAGTTAAAATAATAGCAATTTCAAATTTGGAAATGAAATTTAGCTAAGTATTTTACCTAATGCATAATTTTTCTTAAGTAAAAACACTTTGCATAGTTTAGATTTCACTTAAATCACCAATTGCATTTATAATCTATTTTTAATTCATAAAATTAAATGTACAGTACAATAAAGGACTATAATACCTTTAGAATGTTTTACTAATTTTAGTTTTATAGTGTTATAGCAAAATAACATTTGAAACAAATTGCAGGAGTTCTAATTTACTAGTGTTAAAAAACTCCCTTTATTTTCACATTTGCAAATCTATGTATTCTGGCAAAATTTATGCATTTCTGAAAGAAGATAGCAATTACTAAAATGATGTATGGATCATTAGTTAACAGTTTGAACCAAGCTGTTTTGGTTCTATAATTAAACAAGAGATTTAAAATGAAAATATCTATTAAACAATTAATACAATTAGAGATCAAAACAAAGGCTGATTTTGTCCTAAAATGGAAAAATAAAATAGCAAAGTCGTTTTTTACACTACACTGAAACCTCATTTCTCTTCTCCTCTTCTTCCGTTACCACTTCTTTCCTGAAATCCATTTAAATAAAATCTTTAGTTCCATTCTCTGATAAAAAGTGAAAAAGCCAATGCATCATCTTGTGGAACACCAGAATTTGCTGTTACCATTGCAAAGAAGCATTCTGGCCTCAGATGCACAGTGATTTGTATGGTGGCGTAATCACTGGCTGCTAGCCAGGCATTATGTTTCAGAGGTCACTATTGTCAAGAATTATTCAACTAGAAATCTACACAGTATGAACTCAAAAGTCGAGATCATCTTCCTTCCTATGACAAGAAGAATTCTGAACTGGCAATTGACTCATGGATTCTCTTCACATACTAACACTTGGTTCAGTGGCTTTGATAGAATTAGCCAAACTAGTGGCATTGACAAGGCCACAGTCCCTGGAGACTTCTGTTTAAATTGCTAATTTTAAAATGCCTTCAAATGCAGAACATTATGCTAATGCTGAACTAAATCTACAGTTACATTAAATGTGAATTTGACCATGTAGACATTATTGTAAGGAATCCATTATGGTGATATAATGCCTTATGTACTAGACTGTTAACTGCAGGGTCAGCAGCTCAAACTCACCAAAACTGCTTTGAGGGAAGTAAGACTATCTACTCACATAAAGATTTATAGTCTCAAAAGCCCAAACGGGAAGTTCTACTCTGTTTTATAGGGTCCTATGATTTGAAATTGACTTATGACAGTGAGTTTGGTTTTTAATTGTTGTTGCTGTTGTTTAAACATTGTACTATTTGTCTAATTAATTTCAT